GTTATTTTCACTTTAAAATGAATCTTAAATTGCTCAATCAAATAATATTTTAATTAGACAATGTGCAACTCCATTAACAAAGTTCAAAGCTAACAAGAATTTGATGATAGGTGGTAGTGGTGCAACACCTTTGATCCCAGCACTTGAGAGGTAAAGGCAGGCCTGGTCAACAAACAGAGTTCTGAAATAGCCATGAGTACACAGAAAAGCCCTTTCTTGGAAGAAAGGAAAAAAAAATGTTTTTAAATTTTCCATTGTAGCCAGGTTTATCCCAGCTTTGATCCCAGCACCTGGGAAGCAAAGGGAGGCAAATCTCCATGAGTTCTAAGCCTCACTGGCCTACAAGATAGTTCCATGACAGCCTGTCTCAAAAAAAAAAAAAAAAAAGGGGGGGGGATAATAAAGCTTACACAGAGCCAAGTAAGAAGAACTTCCTATTGTAGTGGTTAAAAGCTAGTTAGTGAAGCTGAAGCAACACACCACCAGCACATCCCTGCCACATAAAGGCAAGCTAATCAGTGACAGTAGTGACAACAGACGCAAATCAGCACAAGTGTAGTTTGCACACAACACAGGTATGCTGTTCCCAACAACTGGAGCTACAGCCACAGAACTAAATTCAACAACCATCCTAACTAACCTAATGTTGGTATTGAGTATTCTGTTGATTTTGACATTTGGTTTGAAATTAATTTATAAATGCCTTTTACAACTATATAAAAGATATAAGCACAAAGACTGCATGTAGTTTATATGATGGGGAAGTTAGGAGACCCAAAACAGCAACTCTCCTGGCAGTCCTGGGATGGACTGGGTAGGGAAGCACCCTACTGCTGAGTTTACACCTGCAGCTCTCTCAAAAACAATGTTCTCTCTCTAGAATGCACCTATGCCTATATTTCAGTCAGTGGGTGACTGACCAACCTGTATTCCCTGAAATCTATACTCCAGCATCTCCTGAAAGACTCTTACAAGGAAAAGCAATCCCTGAGGCCGACACCAGGACTACTGATTTCATCATCATTGTTGCTTCACGAGGTAGAAACTGAGACTCAGAGAAAGTAAGTCATCTGATTATGCAACAAATACTACCACCATGACTGAGACAATACTATAGTCTCAACAGAACAAATACTACCACCGTGACTGAGACAATACTATAGTATCAACAGAACAAATACTACCACCGTGACTGAGACAATACTATAGTATCAACAGAACAAATACTACCACCGTGACTGAGACAATACTACAGTCTCAAGAGTGAAATGAGTGGTTTTAACTGCCTCCAATGAGGGAATCATTTCAAACAACTCCCCACCCCAAAGCACAGCTTGCCACAGACAGAGTTAAGACCAGCAGCAGAGCAGAGAGGGAAAGGCATGAGATGCCCAGCAAAATGGACCAGGACTCCGAGGGAAGAGAGTGTCCATTGCAGAGGAAGAGGGGCCCAGAACACAGCACAACAAGGGATTGGGGGGGGGGGGATAAGGTCACAGAAATAGGTTCTTTTCGGATTGTGAAATGACAAACAGCTTATGAGCAGCAAACTTTCTAGAAAATCCACTACTACAGGGCTATGGAAAAAAAGCATATGGGCTCCAAAACAATATGTAAAATTATAATAGGGTTTCATTTTTTATTTATTTTATTTTTAAGATTTAATTATTTGTTATGTATATAGTGTTCTATCCCTGCAGGCCAGAAAAGGGTACCTGACTACATTACAAATGGTTGTGAGCCACCATGTGGTTGCTGGAAATTGAACTCAGGACCTCTGGAAGAACAGACACTGCTCGTAACCTCTGAGCCATCTCTCCAGCCCGGTTTCTTTTTTCTTTTATTTGGTTTTTTGAAACAGGGTATCTCTGTGTAGCCCTGGCTGTCCTGGAACTCACTCTGTAGACCTGGATGGCATCAAACTCACAGAGATCTGTCTGACTCTGCCTCCCAAGTACAAGAATTAAAGGTGTGCGCCACCACCTGACTTTTTGGGTTTTTTTGTTTGTTTAAAGAGTAAATAGATAATTACTCTACAAAGTTAATCTTAAACAATTAAATCTGCTAACTCAGCTTTGAACTCCTAGCACTGAGGAGGACAGGTGCAGCCCACATGCAACCCGGCAGAGCTAACCTCTAGGTCAGAGGAGAAAGGGTAGGTTTCAGTCCCCTAGAAATCGCACCACTTTGGCTATTTGGACTGAGCTCTTACAGGCTGCCATATGGATTGCATTTTAATCACTGGGGGTCAGATAGTGAAGTAAGTTGAATTGTCTCTGAGCACACTAAGGAAAACCTAGGCAATGGCTCAATTGCATTTTTCATCCTACATTTCTCTCCACCATCACCAAGAAACACAATTCTTTTTGCTAGAAAACATCCAACCAGCATTTCCTTCCTTCCGTTTCCCCCCCACCTCACCCCCAGAGAAAGGATTTCTCTGTGTAGCCTTGGCTGTCTTGGAATTAGAAAAAAACAGGCTGGCCTCAAACTTATAGAGATCCATCTGCCTCTGCCTCTGCCTCTGCCTCTGCCTCCCCAGTGCTGGGATTAAAGGCATACTCCTTCACCACCCAGCTCCAGCAGATTCTTAGTAACTAGTAAAATTTTCATCTCTTCAGTACATGTACTAACAAGAGCAAGTAACTTCAAAATGTATAAAAGTAAATCTAATGAGTTCACATACCTGCATATGCAGAGAAAGCTAAATGATGATGTAATGAATGCTATCCTATAAAAACTAAATAACAAAAATAGTCTATTAGCAAAGACATCTGGTGTATCATGACAAGGAACATTAACGATGTTGTCTGAAACCCTGTAATCAATTTTTTTTTTCTCCCAGCAGCTCTTTCATTACACTGTACTAGATCTGTATGCTTGCAGAATTTATGGGAGCTCCACATGGGGGTGGGGGCTCTGCCAACTGGATCCAGCAAGAGTGACTCTGGCAACCTGCAGCATCATTAAAGAACAATCGATACAATTAGCCTTATGCAGCATCCTCTGACACAGAGAAGATTTATCATCCTGTCACCGACTCTTCTCCAGTCTACACTGACGGTGGCATCTAAGGATTCCACCAATAATGAATTTATTTAAATCCTCAGTGGGTGCTGAAAAATAGCAGTATCAATCATCACTAATGATATTATAGAAAGTTTACTAAAAGATCAGTGTAACAGGCAAAATTTAAAATCTACTCAGCAAATCCTGGTTAGTAAGTACCACAGTAAATGAAAGTATCCACGCTAGCATCACATTGATTAGAGTAAATCAAGAAAATATCAGCCTGCAAGATAAGCCATACTTCTCAGATACATAAAGGACAATATACCTAAGACTGAAGTTTCCCAGGGAGGCAGTCAAAACTCCATTGATTTTTCCCCATAAATGTAAGGACTGTATTGCATTAGGTTCCACCTTCCACTCTGTGTGCTTATTATCTCAAGAAATCCAAGGCTTCCAAAGGAATCCTTTCTGATGGTGTCTAATTCTTGAATAATTACATCAACCACATAAATGTGACACTTTTAGCAATTACTCCTGGTTTTGTTACACCTGTGATGTGGAGATGGAGGGTATTAAACAGGCCCCTCTCTAAAGCCCAAGCTGGTCTCAAACTCAAAACAATCCTGGTGTCAGCCTCCCAAGTACTGGGAGACATGAAAAAACACACCCAGCTTGCTGTGATTATCAACAGCAATCTCTGTAGGCTTGTTCTTCATTCTACAGAGGGGTGCAGCCCTAGTCCTCCAGCTAGCATTTCCTTTTCTAGACTTCATGCTGTTACCAAGTGAATCTTCGGAAACAATGGCTTTCTGCGGCCTGTCCCATAAACATCTTAATTAGTGTAGACTCTAAGATGGGAGACCTCATTCCTGTTTTAGATCTTCACCTCTGCCTCCAACACCCACTTACAAATGCTGTTCATGGACACCCTACATCTCCTCCCAACTCCTAGAGTAACCAGCACGGTGTCTGCACTGTAAGATACATGGACACTCTGCCATCTACATCATACTGACATGTCAAAAATGTGCAGCTTCTGGATTCTAATCCCTTTCACAAAATTGCATGCTATAGCCTGCACAGAGGACTCACTAACACTGCACACTGAACGCACACAACTGATCATGTGTTGACAGTATCTGGTGCTATCTAGCTATGTGAGATGACTCCCTCCTGATATTTTCTAGGTGAGTACAAAGTTAAACCTACCAGTCTGATGACTCTTCTAGTTATAGACACAGTCTTGGGTACTAAGTTCAAAACAATAAGCAGCTGTCTTCTAGAAAGATCACATTAAATCCTCCAAAAAGGAAGAGAAAGGAAGCCAAGTGAACCACAGTCCACAAGTGGGAAGCGACAGCACCTAAAGCCCCCATGAGCACCACCACCGGGCGGCCTCTGGGCTTCAGGGCTGGTGCAGCACAGCCACTGCGTCCTGTCTAATCTGCTCATCAAGTCACAGAGGGATTATCAGGGTACAGCCTGGACAGGCAGAGCCACCCCAGCCCCAACCCCCTGCAGGGATTCCTGGCTATTATGGAAAAACCTCACTGTTTGTCAACAGCCTTCTACAATGTGTCCCCTGAAGAGGGCAGTGGCCAAGACAGTTTAGATTTGTGGAATCCCAAAAGAGCCTTGGGAAATGCACAATCCACACTTGGACTTAAACTTACCCCCTTTCCCCCATCTCAGTTGCCAACATCCATACTCGCTGCTGATTGCCAGCTCCTGCTCCTTGCAGCAGCCCAGCATGCTCTCTGCTGGTGCCAAAATACCCTTCCACCAGACCCCACTAACTTCTGGAACTGTCCTAGAGGGGTAAGGCAAGTCCCGTATTGTGCTTCCTCTGTGCATGTACTTATTACTCTTTTAAAGACACATATCATACAGCACATTTTAAAGGGGCTCTGGGAAGGGAGGTATTATCCTATTTTATACCCTATGGGATATAAAATACTGATAGCTTTTAAAAACGGGATTCTCCTTACCCCTACAGGCCCTCTCCCGGCTTCAGAAAGATGCTGTGGTGGCTGTGACGCCACCGGCAGAGAGCATGCTGGGGGATCACACAAAGCAGGAGCTGGAGATCTGCAACAGGCCTGGGAGCTGTGGACCTAAAAGAGAAAACAGGTTTAAGTTAAGGTGCCCAACACCCACCCTGGTTACTAGGGGCACTCAGCACACAAGCAGGTGTCAGCAAGAGACAGAGAACCACTGACATCACTGAGAATCTGTTCCCCCAGTGGAGTTACCCTTCCCACATTAGTCAAAGCTGCTAATTTATTTAAGTGTCAACACCTGGACGACCCTTCTGGCTCTGTATTTTAACCTGGGTCCTTCTTAAAAGTATGGTGTGTGCCCCTCAAAATAACCAAGTTAAGATGTAACAGTGCGAAAGCATAGCAACAGTGGCATGCTTTGCTCATTATAAAAGCAACATTCCAAGGTGTCAGACAGACAGGAGAGAACTGTGAGCAGACAGACAGACTGAGCTTTCAGAAGAGTTTCTGTGGTGAGAAGCTGGGAGCATAAAGTAAGTGTACATTTAGTAGGAAAGCACCCAAGGGTTAGGGTGGCCAGAGAAAACCCTGCCACTTCCTGGAAGTCCTTATCTAATTCTGTAAAGCTGAAGGCAACATAAATAGACAACAGCTTCAAACACGAAAAAGGAGTGCATTTAACTGAGTTTTAGTTTCCTCAGAATGTCCCCAAAGTGAGAATAATTAACAGGCAAGCCATATCAAGTTCAAGAATGGTATTATTTCTAGGGGTAAAATCCAGCTTGGCGTGCACTAAAACTCTTTTAAAAAAGGAAACCCTGGAGCCAGCAGAGAAAGATGACAACAGCAACTTCTGAAAGCCAGCACTGTCCCTTAAGCACAAGGAGAGACAACTCACACAACAGCTTCAAGCTGCACCCTTCAAGCATATAGCGTATAAAAGCCTAACTACAACAATTTTATTCAAATGATAAATAAACTTTTTTTTAAAAATCCACAAAATTAAAATACTTATGTTAAAAACCCATTACTACAGTTATTGAAGAATTAAACAATCAGACTTTAGCATCACAGCACTATCTCACTGTCTTGCTGCATATGACTTGTTCTAAGACCAGTCTCTGTAGTCTCTCCTCCCCACCAGCTCAACAGACAGCTTTAGGAGCTGTACCTCCTGACTCCCAGAACACAGAAAACTCCAAGTAGGAAACACAACTGAGTGCTCCAGTGTTCAGTACAGTCAGTATTTTTTTTCACAATAAACAAAAAATAAAACTGAATATCTAGTTAAATCTCTTCAGTTGGGAATTCAATTAACCAGAACTCAAATTCAAGTATCAAATCCTCCTCCACTCTAATTAAGGGTTTCAAGTTTTAAAAACCTAGCAAAGCATTTCTCAACACTTTGGCATTACTTGTTTTAAATGTACAAAGAGTTCAAGCGATCATTACAACACTTTTAGCATTTAAGAAAAACTGGCCTTCTGGAGGCAATAATCGTTCATAGGAATCAGAAAACATTGATGACATCTGGAGCTTCCCTGATTTTCTCAGTAGTTTTTTTTTTTTTTTTTTGACACTTTTCTGAGTTGGCTGTTAATACAAAGATCCATATATACATACAAATTGTGAATATTCAGTTATAGAAATAAAGTTTGAACAAGATTTAAGCAATATTCTTACACAGTAGATCTCTACAAATATCACCATCTCAAAATTTTGTAAGGTCTTTGAGAAAAAGGTAGAATAAGTAGTTTTCTTCGTTGAAAATTTTCACATAGATAACATTCAGTGAAGTATATCTAGAGATAAAGGCATTAAGGAAATACATACAATTAAACAAAATATCATCTACTTCTTGGGAGTCCTGAGATGCAATTAAATTAGGAGAAAATGAATTATCCAACTTCACAATAATTAGACAACATAAAACTTCAGCTCCAAGTCACCTGCTCTGCCACTGCTGACACTGAAAACAAACCTCTGAGACATGAGGAGGCGAGCCCCAAGCTCTGGGTTGATCATTCCCAAAGCCTCCTTTTGATTTCTATTGAGGTGGCTACTTCTCTGTCATGTTCTCTCTGTATGGGTACTGAAAAACAATCTTCTGAGATCACTGCTCTATAACAAAGGAGGAGTGGGATCTGGCCAGCCAACAACAGCCCCACCTGACTGTGTCCATCCAACCCCACACAAGAGAGTTCCATTCCACCTCAAGTCTCTTGAATATAAACTACATTACATCTCTGTAATGGCGGTAATGCATAATCATAAGCCAAGTACCTGAGTGCCTTTTTGACAAAAACAAGTGTAGGTGGCTTTTATTTAAAGCAAGAAAAGGGGGTGTGGCCTCTAGAAGAAGAGTTTGGCACCAATTCAATCAATATGCAACAATTCTTGCCTTAGAAACCAGTCTACACCATACTCTAACCCTATGTACAATCACTATACCTCAATTGTTTAAACAAATAAGGAAAATAAATCACAGTATAAGGGATCAATAATGTCACAAACAACGACATTTGAGGGGCAGGCCCTATGCCAAACAATTTGTATGCTTGACTTTCTGTCTAAGAACAACCAACTTGCAAGGTCACAAGCAAGGCAATCAGAATCAGACAACTTGAAGTCAAAATTCAAACTATCAACCTATGCAACCTGACAACCTTCATCTCAGCCCCAGACAACACTTGCCCCATGCTGAATTACACATGTTCATACTAATGGAGAGTCCCAGTCCCACCCCACCTCACTGAAAAAAAGGCTCTAATGGGATACTGATCTTCAACTAAAATGAGTAGTTACTTCCCAGATGCCAATACATTGTATGTTCTTTGCTACAATCACAACAGCCAAACAAGAATCAAACATCTGTGTACAGTACATAAATCTGGCAATTCACTAATATGCAGAATCTCAGCTGAAGATAATTTCTCTATAGCCATCTTCTGCTATACTGTCAGGGGATGCAGAAATGAAAAACAATGAGCGGCAACAAATTTCTGGAGTGGGTTCTGGGTACAAACTAGAACTCACAGAGAAATCTCTCTCTCTCTCTCTCTCTCTCTCTCTCTCTCTCTCTCGCGCACACACACACACACGCACACACACACACACACACACACACACACACACACACCCCAAGTTGCTCACAAATAACAATGAAATATTCAGAGGGGTGTAAAATGATCTAAGGAAACTAGTGACTCTGATTCCTTGGTTATTCCATGCTAACAAACAGATGAAAATGGCTGTTGTCTTGCATATAAAGAATACGACAGCACACACCTCCATCCACAGTTCAATTCACTCAACAGGCCACTGGAAGCCCTTTAATATTGTTAATGGTGTTAAGGCATACTTAGACAAGGTTTAATCTTAAGGATGAGCTTTCCAGTTTTAGTACAATGAACCAATGGTATTTACCTAAAGTACTATTTGTAGTAATTACATATCCTTCCTGGAAACTCATTTGGTATAAATAAACCTACAATTACCCAATGTAAGAAACACAAACCATACTTCCTTCTAAAGAACAGATGATGGCAATCAAGAACACACAGCATCAGAGAATTAACAGAGCAGCTCTGAGCGTTATGCTAGGAATAAACAAACAACTGGTAGGAAGTACAAGGAACTCCTTGGTATTGCATTAATTTTAACAATATACTTTGGGTTAACTTTCTCAAAATCCATGATTATTTCTAGGAAGAAAATTACTTGCTTAGTTTGTGAACATTCCTAACCGCATTCTGGGATAAAATACACCTTGATGAACAAAAACAAAACCATCAAAGCAAACTAGGTCACACCAAGTGACCCAGAATCATCTGGAAGGGCAACAGGAGAACAGAGTTGAAGATGTTATCCCCGGTTCTTTTGGTCCCACTCCATCCCGCCATTTGAAGCAATCATCTCCAGAGACTCTGGTGGAAAGGGGCAGGTCTCAGGGAGGTCAGGGAGGAAGTGGCTGTGCTAGCATCCTCCAGTGTCTTCTGCTTTCTCACCTGCTCGAGAGGCTGGCATGCCGGGGATGCTCCAACCTTACTACTGTAAGGGTGATTCCTGACTCACCCTTTCGGCTCTACCCCTCTCTAGACAGCCACAGTGCCCCAGTTTTCCCCAAATATAAACTTTTACAAAGAAATTAATCTTTTCAAGCCAGGTCACTACTGTTACCATTATCACTACTTCCAAAAAGTAAACTTATTATCTGAGATTGGTTCTGAAAACTAATGTGTGTCTTTATTTAGTCACTCACCTTTCATATCCTTTGCTTAAGCACAACCCTCCACTCTGCCTTTGTCTATTTCTTCCATGGATAACTCTGACCAATATATTTAAACAAGTTTTCTTCACTTGGAAATAAGTTAATTATATGAATATAACACAAAAGAATCAATGTTTCCCAACAGAACATTTAATTTTTTCCCTCAAAAATGCCACCTTTGGCCAGGCAGTGGTGAAACATACCTTCAAATCCCAGCAGTAGGAATCTCTGGGTGTTCAAGACTAGTCTGGTCTACAGAGTGCCAGGACAGCCAGGGTTATAAAGAGAAACCCTGCCCCCCCTGGGGGGAGGGGCATCCACAAATGTATCTTTGGAGTGTTCCTCCATTGGAGACCCTCCCATTCTCCACTTTGGGAGTTCTTACTTTTTGAATAAACTTATGTTTGTTCTCAAACCAACAAAATGGAGAGGGGAGGGAGAGGGATAAAGACCCCTAACCTTCAAAAACTTGGTTCAGTTACGAATGTACTGCTCTGCACTACCATGGCCTCCTAGATCTAGCTCTGTGCAAACAAAGACTATAAATGTACCTAGCAATGTGGGATGGTAGCAGCTTTATGTGTTCTGAAGATTTAACACTTGATAAAGCAGAAGCCATGGAGTTCACCCCTGTAGACAAAATGGCCACAAAAGTGATCCAGTTTGGACATTTCTGAGAATGAAATGAGAGGCTGTTTACATACCCAGGTATGCTCTATACCACAGACTTGGACTCTGAAGGAATCCTGAAGCAAGCTCTAGAAAATAACCTAGGTTTCCACACAAAGTCCAAACATTCTTCCTTTCACACAATAAACTGGTAAAGCACCACACACGTCTGTCTTACACTCCACAACCTACCAAAGCAGAAGAATTGTTACTGCTGATGTAAACAAGAAAGCACATCTCTTACTACAGCCTCAAACCAGAGGCTAAAAACCCCATCGTGTAGTACTTGTTTTTTAAAGCCACTTTTCATTGTTCTGTTTTGCCATGTTATTCACTATGAGCAAAATCAACTGCAATCTCTTTTAAAATCCTTTCTATGAAATAAAGCGTATTTCCTCTATAGCCTGGGCAAACCAGAGCAGGAAGCCTTGATGATTCTCACCTCTGTCAAAGAGCTGAGGAGAAAAGAGAATGAGGAAAACTGTGTTTCTCCCTGGAGCAGACATGCCATCATCTCTAACGTTCTCACGTAACAGCTACAAGTATGTGCTCAACACAGAACCTCAAAGAGAAACACTATGTGGTTTAAAGGTTGCACCCTGTATCTCACTTGTTTTGCAGATAGCTTTCATGTTTTTAATACTGACAGCAGAAGCTTCAGTTTTTATTGCTGTTAATACACTAAGCAATTACAGTACCTCAGCAGGAACCTCTGCTCAGAACAGCAACTACCATAGTAATCAGCATTTCCTAGGAGATGGATGCTGTTCAAACATGAAGGCATCTGCTAACATATACAGAGAGAGAGAGAGAGAGAGAGAGAGGGAGGGAGGGAGGGAGGGAGGGAGGGGACTCAGAATCTGATGGGAATCTAAAATAAAAATCTTTATAATTTTATTTCAGAGCTATATATTCTCCATGGAGCTTTGGTACTCATTCAGCAAAATCACATACACAGATAACAAACACAAAAAGAGCAGTAGCCGCAGGCACTACCAAAATAAAAATCTTCTGAAAACAAGGCCACCTCCCAAAGTTTCAGGTATCAGACAGTATCTGTAAAAAAAAAAATCTCTGTAAAGAAAGATAAAGAACAAACATCTCCAAAAATGGTAAGAATTCATATTGGCAAGAAAACTAAATAGAAAGCATTTGATTTACAAGATAAAGCTGCAAGGCCATTTTGCAAAACAGCCAGGGTACTTAGAAGCAGCCTAATAAGAATAAATATATCTTACCAATAAATGCACAGTTGACTTGCTTTACTGTATTAACTCTTTAAACTGAAATATCATATACATTGTGTGTAAGAACAAACACTCTCAAGCAATGAAGGAAATGGGGAAGGGGACATTTTGTATTTAGAAAGATACAGAATTAGGATTGTTCTGCACTTATAACCAGGCTGTGGTTCCCAGTCTTCAAGTAAAAGGATCCCATTCCAAGATCAAAACATTTTAGACAGTCCACAATGATACTGCTTCAACGGTATTTTACTCATCAGCTGTATGAGGAAAAGACATTAAAAATAGTACTGTTTAACTATGTTGCTCTTGAGTAAGAGAAATCTTTGAAAAGTCCAATGGAATATTAATGTTTGAAAAACAGGTGCACATGAGTGTTAAGTACATATATGTACCCAATACTTGGGGGGGGGGGGGGGGAGACAGGGGCTCGCTGTTTAGCCCTGGCTGTCCTGGAATTCACAATGTAGACCCGGCTGTCCTGAAAATCCTAGAGAGCCACCTGCCTCTGCCTCTTAGCACTGAAATTAAAAGCTTGTTACCACACCTGGCCTCAGTGTGTTTGTTTTTACAAACACCCAGGGATCTATCCTGAGCTCAAAGTGTGGGAGCCACTGTCTAAAATCAAAGATTTTGTCAGGAGCATTATCCAGACAGCCTTACTTCCAGGCCAAATTCTATTCTTCTAACTGCTCCTGGGACACCCTTAAAACTGGCCAGGATATAGTCCATACCTACCATCATTCCAAAAAAAAACCTAGTCTTTGGTTTACATTTCCTGCTCATTAATCACTAAAATGACTTCAGGCTCTTAAGACCGGGTAAGAGCAAAGAAACCACCTGAGAAACTAGAGGGAATCTCTGAGAATTCGAAAATCGCTGCTAAAGAAGAAAATACTTCAGAAACATTGTCACAACACAAAAGCATTACCACAGTAGACAAACCAAGCTGATGAAACCAACCGCTGTGTTTCAGCGCACAGCCTGAAGTCAGGTCACACTGCTGCACACTGGCTATCACGCCATCAGAAGTGTCAGCCTGTGGAGTGAGAGGGGGGGCACAGCAGAGGCAGAGCATGGGAAAATGCTTACCAATTTGAAGTCTTGGATGCTGCAGATGAAATACGGTGTGTTTGGTCGCCGACTCTCGATATACACACAGTCTTTAAAAGAAAAAGAAGTTCTTTTTAAGAATGGCATTTACCTTTAAAGAACCAAACACATGGGCCATAGATCACTGCATAAATAAATAGCTAGGTAAATGAATATATAAACATATCAATAACAAAGCAAATATCTTTTAATAGTAAAAACAAAACCTTTCCATGGGTGACATTAAATTACAGATAGCATTAAAGTGAAGGTTCTTTCTGAACACGCTTTTGATAATTTAAAGAACCTAATGAAGTCTGAGCCATTCTGTTCAGGGAAAGGAAGTTCTATAAAAACTGTGTCCGTATCCAGGCGGAGAAGTTTACAGAAGGTAATTACTAAAGATTATACATGAAGGCAGGCATGGTGGCACTTGCCCATACTCCTAGTCCTGGGGAGAGGAAGCGAGGGAATACATACACTTTAAGGCAAATCAAAAATCCTTTAGGCAGACATTCTTCACACAGAGAAACTGCTTGGCTGCGTGCTACTTCATTTTCAATCAATATTTTATGAGGAAATAGGTATTTGGAAAAACCAGCTTGAACATGCCACTACAATAACCTTTTCACCTATACCATAAAAAGAATGAAAACTAATCTAATCACCTCTGGGTAATCTACTATTAAATATTTTTTTGACTGTAATGAAAACCAAGGCAGCCAATCAAAGGTGGAATGAATTAAACCAGCTTATATTTTTATATATTTCTTTCAGAAAGAACAGAACATTTTCCAGTGGTGGACAATTCTTTTTGATGCTCACAGCTGAAGTATAAAAGGCTTAAAAAAAAAAAAAAAAAAAAAAAAAAACCTGCCTGTAAGACACGGTTCTTAAGAGAAGCAATGAGTTTTTAGAAAAACATTGTCCAAAGAGGAGGACTGGATGTCTAGGTATATTACCCAGCAAGACGTGAAAGTTTCACAGCTATCAAATCTGGGGAGTAGGATAACAATGCCTACAGTGCAAATGCCAGTCCTTATATCCTTTTCCCCGCCCTTCAAAATGTGCACACATAAGAACTAGCTTTTGACAACCTAAAGAAAGCCCTCTCCTTTGTCTCCATATACATTAAAGGCCAAGATAGAAAAAGGTGTCACAATATGGAGTCGAGAGTCATCCCACTGGTGGACAGTCAAGTCGAACTCCAAAAGTAGTAAACACACTAAGGGTTGGATCATGAAGATAGCCTCTCTAAGAGACATATCCTTCTGGAAAACTCCCTGTACAACAGTAGGGTCACTGTACCCAAACCTATCAAGGTACCAAAATGCCCCTGACTTCTCAGAAACAGACAGTGAGTCCATGAAGCCATGCACCAAAGAGGATTAGGGAATGTGTTAGCCCTGAGCTTTGCACCTTGTTCCAGGGTCCCAGATAATGACTGACTGTACTTAGGCATCATCCATCTAACACAGCAATCATCTCAAATGACAGGCAAGAAGAGAACCTCTTCCCACCGTAAGATTTCTCTTCATAAGCCTTGTTTGTCATTAAAGTAAAAAATATACGAAGCATAACTCTCTATACAAGAAACAGGAGCTCTAGCCAGGCACAGTGGCATGCTCACAGCACTGTGATCCTAGCACTCAGCAAGGGAGACTAACAAGCTGGGGGCTAGCCAGGACTACAAGATCTGTCTCAAAAATTAAAATTAAGGAAAAAATATTTAAATTTAAAAAATTAATACATTTTGGAATGGTCTCAAAATTCTTAATTCCCATGCTGTTGCCCTGTTGTGCGCAGCTCCAGTAGTTCAAATCTCCAGGTAGCAACTACACACCCGCTCGCTGCACACAGAGCACAGTCCATGTGCTTTCTTCTTCCTGTCCCTTTCCATGAAAAGCCACACTTTCTCTATGTTAAGCTACTTGTTGACTGCCTTAAAAACAGACATGTCATAAGTGGATGGAATTCAATTATCTGTTCCCACAAATCCCAACTCTTCCCCTAGACAACATTCTCGAGAAGCAATCCCGATTCCTCTGTACAGTCTACGCCAGCCAAGCCCTTCCTTTATCCCACCTATTCTAACTATACATCGCTCAGGGGATACATTCCCATGAGTCCTCTGCAGAGAAAGAATAGTCACAGCTCCCTTCTTCAAATGATCCTAGCAATTCACGTCCCTGTATGTTCCATTATTTGGCAGTCAGACTGTCTACACGGTCCACACCACCATCATCTCCAGAGCTCTAGACAGTACAAGAGCAAACCCTGTGTGCACTGAGGACTAATATCTTCCATTGGCACACTCAAAATCAGACAAGTGTGAGTAATAGCAGATGTGGGACAGCAAGGCCTAGTTACAAGTGTGATGATGGTTCTAACAGAGAAAGGTTTTATATATCCTTTCATAATTAACGGAATCATTTTTACCACAAGTCTCTTCCTCTGAAAGATAAAGCACCATGAACTTGACCACTAACAAATTTCCAATGTCAGGTGTAGTGTGGTACACATGCTCACACATAATTCTAGCACTTGAGAGATGGAGGCAGGGGGATCAGGAGTTCAAGGCCAGCCAGCCTTGGACTACACAGTGAGTCCAAGACTTGTCAGAACTACATGAAATCCTACTTTCAATAACTACCCCCCAGAGCTCCCCAAAAGGTTTTCTAGAAAAAGGAGGGGAAGCTATGTTATGCTACAACTGGACTGAGGAAAATGTCCCTCTAGAAACACACCAAGTAGTGAGTGGGAACAGGAAAGGGGCACGGAGGAGAAGGACAGCTGCTGGCTCAGTGTGTTTCTTATCTGAATGGACTTGACTCACACACAGGCTAAAGAAGGTTGTCTGAGGGAAGAGCCTGAACCTGACCTGTGGAGTCATCACAATTACTTTTTAATGCCTTTTCCCTACATACAAGCTACCTTGTTTTATTTAAACAATTACCATAGAAACCCAAACTGATCCAAAGCTGTGAATTTACATAATGATTTCAACATACAAGGCTGTTATCTGTAGAACCTATGGTTGTGTCAAAATCTCAATATTTTGAGCCTAGCGGTGGTGTCTCACACCTTTAATCCCAGCACTTAGGAGGCAGAGGCAGGCGGATCTCTGTGAGTTCGAGGCCAGCCTGGTCTCCAGAGCGAGTGCCAGGATAGGCTCCAAAGCTACACAGAGAAACCCTATATCAAAAAACAACAACAAAAAAACTCAATATTTTGAAACGTGTATGAAAGGGCAGATAAGCTCACTATGAAAGCGGATAACAAAACAGATTCCTTTGATAAAAAGAATAATAAATCATAAGTCACATGAGCTAAATATCTTTCCAAGCTGTGTCAAATTTGTCAGCCAGAAAGGGAATATATATTGCCTTGACCATTTTTTGGCTAATGCATTTTTTAAATTAAGTATGAAATATTACTGCAGTTAACTTTTCTTCCTACAAAACAGGGTGATCCAACTGAAGAAGATGCTCTCTAGGAAGAAATCTGGAACTCAAGTCTCACAGGGAATACTTTTTCTTTCATTGCCCTTACTGTTACCTCACACTGCCCCACCCCTCGAAACAGGTTAAACTGAGGCCAAATAGTCATTAGTAATATTTTCTCTCTGGTCTCATTAATCAAGCAGTTTATTTAATAAAACGGTTTATATAAATGTTGACAGCTAGAATAAAATCATTTATTTTGTTTTTATTTGTAGCTCTGTCTGTTTTTGCCATGCTGGGGTCTAACCGAGGGCCTCCTACAAGCTGGACATTCATTCCCAGCTCCAAAGTAGTTCATTTGAAAAGGCAAAGTTAAGAACAATGTCACAGCGCAGCTGGAATGTATGCCCCGTAATCTTCTAAAACCAGAGTGATTTGGCAAGACTGTCATGAAACTTACTGCTGCAGAGCTTATCTGAAAGCTGGCTGTAAGGCTCAGTGTAGTCACCTGACTTGATCCTCATGGTGACAATACAATGCTCACAGTCAACACAAGCACAGCAGACACCTATGTTTTAAAATGTTAAAGCCCTTCTTTGGAAGCAGCAGCTCTAAAGGGCGGAGCAGACAATACAGTTCATTAAACGCACAAGGCACATTTTCAGAATCACCCACAGGAAAGCAGGCATTCACCAGATAGAGCTAACAGTTGCTGTGGGGCAAATATACATTGTTTTAATCTTAAAATCAGCATGCCTGAAATGGGCCAGAAAAAAAAAATGAGGCTATTTCCATCACTATCAATTATTCTGAACAATACAAGGTAACTAATGTTTTCTTTAGCAGGGGTGTCTGAAAATGAGATCAGATTATGTAGTGATTCTTATACTCGCTAATACATGGTGTCACTTCAAACGCTTGTGAGATGATACTGAACAGAGATATTTCTGGATGTTTCTTATAACCTCAACATATCTTAGGGTCCAAGAATCAACGCTGCCATCTGCAAACAGAGCCCTTGCTGAGCTGAGGGAGGAAGCCAGCCAAACGTGAAAGCAAATTCTCAAGGCACAGAAAAGCCTCTGCCTTTTCAAACCTCCTCAATCAGCAGGTTTATGTAAATAGAGCGGCGAAGCAAGTTCCTCCAGGGTAAAAATCATAGCCTGCCACACCAGGCAGTCTGTCATCAGGAAACACAAAGCAGCTATCAGCGTTTTTCCTGACAGTCTCCTCACTAAGCAGAGTGGACACTTACTTCACCCCCTAATTTAGTAAGCGGGTCTGGGAGCCCTGGCATTAAAGCTGTAGTTAAAATACGCAGGCAATGTTCAGCCACTGCTCTGTCCCATAAAGAAATTTCCCCCATCAATGTGTTTCCACCTATTAATCTTTGAAATACTCTCTCGTCCCCCTGCAAAGAATGGCAGTGCCACTCTAATAGAATTTAAAATAGAAACCCTTTCCTTGGGAACAAAGCCTTTCTCACAAAGAGATTTTCAGAGACACAGCCGGGGAGCCCAGCAGTGAACATGGGAAGCTGACCTTCAGGCTTCTCAGTTCTTTCATTTCTCTTCCATGCTATTCCTGTATCCCTGACACTCAGAAACATCCAACAAGGTAACCGTGAG